CCTAAAATTGACGAGATGATTCTCACGATGCCCCAAAGGATCAACGAACTCCACGAAGCGAAAGGAAGATCTACTAAATATTAATTGAATTATAAAGATATCAATTCATGTGAATATGACTGTGGTGTCTATTTACTTATGACCACGCTGTGTATAAGGCAAGAAAAATAGCCAAGTGCTAGGGACCCAGCTCTGAACAGTGGACTAAGCTTTATTTTGTATTGTTTGATAGATATATATATGTCTACATTCACTGTTAATTTGGCAACATTCCAATGGGGAACCTGCTCTTTCTATTGGTTATAAGCATGCCATTCAAGTTAAAACTGTCCCTTAGCAACACAGCTTCTACATTGGAAGTGGGTGTGGCTTATCTTGAACTGAAGAATTTTTACAAGTCTTCCTCTGACACAATTTCTTGGAATTTGACTGAGTTACTCGTGAAGAAGCTATATATGTGTACTTTAAACGTCTACAAGAACACGTTGACATTACACATACTTGTTTCTTGTCTATCAGCTCTAAAGTTCAGATATATTGAATCATGAGATCATCAAGTGACAACAAACCAGAATATTTGATTATTGTTTTAGAGGTTTCTTTTGAAATAAAAGAATAAAAATTGAGATAAAAAATTTTAAATTATAATGTACTTGATAAAAATAATTTCTTTAAAATACATTGATAGTAAAGTGATTTAATTATGTTTTGAATGTAGCTTAGTAACATGTGCAGAAAGGGTTTTAATAAATAATGTCATAATTATAGGGTTAATCCACCCTCCATCTGTTGACAGGTGAATATACATATTTCACACCTTGCAATCACTACAGGATCCCACTAGGCAGCTAGTGTTGCCTCTCAGGGTATGCTTACTCAAAATTCTGCATCCAACCAGGATAACGGAAAGTGCTCATACCAACTGTCCTGTCTTTACATGAGCCCAATGTTAAATGGGGTGTTCTGCAATGCCACTTGAAGTTTTCTTGTGGTATTTCTAAATATATTTATATTACATTTCTTGTCTGTTTGGTCCAGACCATCATGGAAAAAGCTAGCACTAGAATTTTGTCTGTCCATAATTCTGGCATGCACTTGCTGCCTTTAAAAATAAGATTTTATGGTCACCTATTACACTGTCTCCAGACAGAGAGGAGTTGAGATTTTGTAATTCTCAGTATTATCACAACATTTCAAGATTTATATAAGAACACAAGGACTAGATATGACCTACATTTTAATAAAAAGATGTGGTTTTAGCACCACAAAATGTGGGTTGCTTAAATTTAGAATGTTTAAACTACCAAATATTATAACAAAATTCTGATTTTTTAATAACATTAACTTTATAACTGCTCAGAAGATGTGTGCCAAATTTATAGTTAATAAATTTAGTAATTCTAAAGAAACATAATTTTTTGTAAAGTATTCGAAGGTTGTGTCAAAACTTGCTCGCTTGCGACTGATAGGGGTTAATATATATCATTTTGATTATTTTGTAGGATGTGGTGTTGGAGACTGAATTTGATGGTGAAAAGTCAAAGTTTACCATGCTACAAGTTTGGCCAGTTCGTTCCATGAGGCCTGTTACAGAAAAACTAGCTGCTAATCATCCTCTTTTGACTGGGCAACGTGTTCTTGATTCTCTCTTTCCGTACGTAAAATATTCATCATGAAATAAATATTTTTATTAAAACTAAAATTTAAGATCTATTTATTATATTTATATAAATGACAAATTATGTTGATTTGGTAATACTTTCTGTGGTAGCATAGATAAACAGCAGTTCCATACTATTTTTTACTGCATTTCCATTTCTCTATTTTCGTCAGTAACCAGCAGGTTCCTGGTAGTAACTTTCCCTTTTCCTATAACATTTTGTAGAGTTTCCAGGCAGAATTTAGAATCCTGATTGTGTTACAGTTTATACTTTTTTTATGTCACATCAAACTACAAGTCAAGCTGTGCAACCAACAGAATTGCAGTCTTCACTGTTATTAGTGTAATTTTGTGTTAAGTTAACCCTGCACTAACTGTTTCTTGAGCACTATCCTTTTCTAATCAACCTTGAATTCATACACAATTTCTTTATTACTAAAGTGCTCCAGTCAAGTTCTAGTTACTATTCTTTTTATTATTTATTTAACTATTGCCTGGTAATAATAACCATAATAAAATAAATAGTTATTATGTGTATGATAGTTTGACCTTTTATCCATCTTGTTGATAGAAATCTAGCATAATAATTAACATAAAATGACCTCACTGAATGTGTAGCTGCTCAAAAAACAATGCATAAGAGAGATAACCAGAAGACTGAAATGGGCATCAGTCTTCCAACAATGGGATTAGCCAGTTTGGAGAATGATGCTCTTTACAGTGGATTCCAAGTTCAAATTGTTTGGCCACAAGAACAACACTGTTTTGACAGTATCATTGTCAATGTACAATTTCTGCAATGAAGCATGATGGGAAAACAATATGCATGTGTACTGCATCTTAGCCAGTGATGCTGGAGGTCTACACAAAATTAATGGCACCCTGACTGCTGACGGGTACAATCACATTCTTATCCATCATGTCATTCCCTCAGAAACAAGACCTTGGACAGGGATTCACCTTCCAGCAAGATAGTGATCCCAAGAATGCAGAAAATGTAGTGGAATGATACTGGGATAAAAAGAATCCAGTGAAATACTCACAACCATGATTTGGCCTGTACAGAGTCCTTAACATGAATATTATTAATGTTATGTACTTTTATGAAATCTAAGAAGGTCGTGTGGCAACCAAACAACTTAACTGAATTGTCGGGATTAATATAGGACATTTGAACAATATTTCTCAATCCTAGACTGATAAACTTGTGGTAGCTTACAAACAAGGTGAACTACACTGTTGAAAGCCAACACAAAATATTGCATTGTACAACTTTTTTTCACTTTTATATTTTCTCTAATAAAGTATTAATGATAAGTTTGCTATTTAGTTGCAATTATTTATTGTTTGCATTTCCTGTATGTGTATCACCTGTAGATTACTGAAATTATTTTCAGTATTGTATATAAACAGAAAGGCAATCTATAAAACTAACTTCATCAACTTTTAATTTGAATTTTCTTTGACAATCAGTTGTCTAAAACACAATAAATTTATAATTACATTGAAATATTTGTCAAATCTTTATTAATATTGTATGATGAATAAATTTAGAGTATATATATATCTACTCACACAATCATTTTAAACCAAATCATCAGTAAATTTTGTAAGTTCTGAGAACAACTATTTATTGCTAATTATATTAATATGTGCCCTTCAATACATAAACAATAGCCATAATTAGCATTTTTGGCTAAGTCTGTTAGCTAAAGTTTTGGTTGGAAAAAACTAGATGTCAAAAAATTGGTGATGCAGAAGGAGAATGAATAAAAGTGTAGAGTAACTCCACCACATTGCTAGTGATGTGGCTTAGTTTTCAATTAATGTAAGCTACGTTAATTCTGTTTGCTTTGGTAAATGACAACAAAAGTAATGGCTATTTGTAGAGAAGAAAAGTTTGTTGATTTCACAGATGAATTTGACTGTGGTTGCTCAGAAAATTATCCATGTTAGGATTTTTAATTTATCTTTTTTATATGTGGAAAATTTACATTCATGATGGAACTTGCTTTCAAACACAACTGCATTATTGCATATGACACTAACCATGAGCTACCATACGCTTTGATATTGCTACATCTTTTTATGTCAGTAAGCAAAATTTCTCTTACATATTGACACTACTACATCTGATTGGTTGTTATTTGTTATTTTGAACTTTTGTAATATTTACTTAATTTATTCATGAGGAAGAAAACATAGTTTAATGATGAACACTACAACCACAGAAGTGACAAGTAGCATGTTTAATTAACATTGTGGAATACACCAATTCCATCTTTAGCAAATTCTTATAGTAAATACAAAACTATGATTACAAATAATAACCTGAATTTTAAATAAAAGTTTATATATTATGATATACTGTATACCAAAATCTCATCAACAGACTCAAGTTTTAGCTATGGGTAAACAAATATTTTGATTAAAGAGAGAATGTATGTATGAAGCAAAATCTCCCTAGCTTAAATAATAACTTCTGTTGACTTCAGCTTGTTTTAATTCTTTTTCATTACCTGTATAGGTACACCTTCTCATTTATATAGTTTCCATCTATATCTGCCCCCCCCAGTGGCACAGTGGTATGTCTGCAAACTTACAACGGTAGAAACGGGGTTTCGATACCCATTGTGGGCAGAGTACAGATAGCCCTTGTGTAGCTTTGTGCATAATTAAAAACAAACAAACAATCCATCTATATCTTTTGAACCATTTACTGATTTTTACCATCCCCATTCTCTCTCTGTGTCTGGACATTGTCATTACAAATTATTCAGTATAATACATAAACTTCTATTCAACATTTAAATTATCATTTGTAAATATAATTTTGTACTTGATGTAGGAATTTGCTAAAGATGGACTTTGTCTTTTCCAAGATGTTCATTAAGTTTGTTGCCATTTTGCCACTTTTATGGTTTTATTATTCATGATTAGATTATTTATAATGGTACTAAAACCAGTTTTGTTGCTGAAACAAATCATATATTAATATACATCTTCTCTTTGAACTTGGTAATCATGATAAAGCTGCTGGGTTTGTTGTGAACTCTAAAAGGTCATTGCTGCATAAAAAAATAGTGACCATTTGTTATTATTCATGATTAACAGTTGAACAATTGTTATAGTGTGAAAGCCTTTTTTAATTTGGCAAGGCATGATTATAATTAACTTACTTGTCATAAGGAGGATTGGTCGCAAGTTTACTTGTGTTTCATGCAGAGTGTCTGTGTTTGTGCCATTTATGAAAATGTTGCATTCAAAAGGAGTCGGATACATTTTATTTTGTTCCGGATGGTTATTATTGTTTTTATTTTTGCTTACAATACCCATATTTTTATAAATGGCTTCTCACAGAAAACGTAAGGTGTTGAGCAAAGCTGAGATAATTACTGAACTATTTGATAATTATTTGTCAGATCTTCCAAGTGAAGGTGAAGAATCTGATGTGGATGTGTTTGTGGATCATTCTGACTAACTCTAGCTACAGTGACGTTGTTAGACCTACAAAGATACGTAAAGTTATTGCGCTCTCAACTGATTCTGAATCAGAAAGTGAAGATGATTCTACAATTTTTCCTGTTAGTGATTTGTTTTCCCATTGTGATAATGATAATTGGTCAGAAACAGATATTCCACCGAACTTGGAAATGTATGAAGGAAATCCATGGGTCACTATAACTCCATCCGAACCTGAAAGTATTGCTGCTGTGATAAGTCTAATGTTTGGTGATGACTTGTTTGAAATGTTTTGTCAGGAAATGTGTACCTATCGTAATCAAACTGCAGAGAAACAGAAAATGTCATCTAAAGGACTTCAATGATCTGAAGTTACACCTACAGATTCTACTAATGGGACAGATAGGGAAATATAAATGGAAAGATTATTGGTTAACAGATCCTCTTTTGATCAGCCCAATATTTTCACAGACAATGAGCTGAAACAGATTTGAATAAATTTGAACATTTTGGCATTTCAATGATAATCAGAAAATGGATGAGTCTTCAAAATTCACCCAGTACTGGATTATTTCCTCAATAAATGCAGGACAATATACAAACTAAAGCAACAGTTGTCATTGGATCAGGGCAGATTCCATGGAGAGAATGTCTAAGATTCTGAACATACAACCCTGCAAAAATTGTAAAATATGGCTTGCTGGTGAGAATGGTGTGTAAGAGTGACACAGGTTATATTTGCAAGAGGGAGGTTTATACTGGCGAGGGGAGGAAAAATTGGAGGAGACTATTCTTTCAGTTCTTTCTCCCAATCTTGTATTGTGGCACCATGTATACCAGGACAAATCTGTTCCTAGAACATAAAACAAGAGTCTGTGGAACAATGAGAGTGAATAGAGAATTGCTGGCAAGCCTGAAGGTTGAAGTTTCAACAATGAAAAATGGTGAAACAGCTTTCCATAGAAAAGGTGATGTTCTCATTTTCATATGGAAAGACAACATAGAAGTGAGAATGGTTTCAACTATCCATGACTCATCTCTTTCTACCACAGGAAAGAAAAATAGAGTAACTGGAGAATAAATATAAAACCTGTGTGGGTTCTCCAATACAATGCCCACATGAAAGGTATTGATCGTGCAAATCATTACCTCCCATACTACACCATTCTCAGGAAAACAGTGAAATGGACAAAAAAGATAGTACTTTATCTAATAAATTGTGGCCTTTTCAATTCATATATAATCTATAAAGCCATGAATCAACAGAAAAAAATAAAATATAAGCAGTTCCTGTTCTCTGTAGCAATAGAATGGATTACTGACAAAGAGAAAGAAGGCTCACTGGAATGAACCCAGTCCATCATCTGAAGGTACAAGGAGAGCCCCACATAAGGATACCCCACTAAGACTGTCTGGTGACATAAAACAGCATATGTTCATTTCATCTACAGGAAAAAAGAAATTTCGTACCATAGCCTGCAGGGTTTGTACTGCTCATGGGAAAAGAAGTGAAATGTGATACATATGCAAGTTTTGTGTGGTTCCACTCCATATAGGAAAATGTTTTACAAGATACCACACTTTAAAAATTTACTAGCTGTTTTCATGTACATACTCTGTAAGTTTCAAGTAGATAATAAAAATATATTTGAGTTATGAACAAAATAAAATGTGTCCGATTCCTTTCAAACTTAATGTTTTAATAAATGGCACATAAAGATGCTCTGCACGAAACACGAGTAAACTTGTAATCTGTCCTCAATATGCTCAGACTATTATATTTTTTATCATGGCAATGGATATGTTGAATATTGTGTGGTTGGGGCATTATTAATATAAACTCTTCTAATTCATGTAAATCCCTGAGGGGTTAGATATAGAAAGCAGTGTTACAAAATATAATAGGTGTAATAGTAATGTCAAATGACAAGTCTATTAATTATAATCATGCTTTACCAGCTTGAAAATGGCATTCATAGCATAACAATTGTTGTTGTAACAAATGGCATATATATAAATATTGCTCTGATCACTACTGTGTTTGTTGTGTCCCAGCTGGCTTGATGAGCTCTGGATTGAGCAAAATGCATTGTTAGCAGTGGATGTGGCAAACATAATGTGGTTGGAATACTGTTATTATAAACTCTTCTAATTCTTCAAAATCTCTGAGATACTAAACTTGAATGCAGTGTTAAAAATATAATATGCCTAATACTAATGTCTAATGACAAGTACATTAATTAACAATTACTTGGTTTCCTATCTTCAGGTGTGTGCAGGGAGGAACGACAGCTATACCTGGTGCTTTTGGTTGTGGAAAGACTGTGATCTCCCAGTCACTGTCCAAGTATTCTAACAGTGATGTCATTGTCTATGTTGGGTGTGGTGAGAGAGGAAATGAAATGTCTGAAGTACTGAGAGATTTTCCAGAAGTATGATAATTAAATTTTTTTTGTTATTTTAATTGTTTATTTAATTTTTATTGTTTATAATTATTATTTGATGAACTTTGTATTGTCGTCATTATTATGATATGCAATAATAGTTTGTTTTTTTTATAAATTACTCTTCCAACCAGGAACACTTACTAATCGCCTAACAAGCTAAGTATGTTTATTAATGATGTACCAGACCAAGTGCTTTGTAACAAACAAATAGGGAGCATTAAGTTGCTTGACATGTCCTAATAGTTACAAAACTGTTTGGATCTGAGCCCTGGATTAAAAGTGAAGCTGACCCTATGAATGTAACTGTTTCATAATTTTATAAAGTTTTTCATAAGCTTGAAAGAAGTAGTACTTAGAATATATATCAGTTAAAATCATTCTGTGAGATATTATAATTAACTTCTGAAAGTCTTCTCCTTTACATATCAAAGTATGGTCGTGTTTGTTTCTTTTTCAAAATGTATTCCTGTAATTTTCAATAAAAATTTGCAATACAAGCAGAATTTTGTATGGTTTCTCAACAAAATTTGAGTAAGCTATAGTTAAAGAGTGATTGTTATATACATACAAGTATTTGATTAATTCTTGATAAAGTGGTAATAGCAGATTGTTTTGTTATTTTCAATAAACTGATGAATTTAAATAGAAAGACTTGTTCTTAATTTATTTAGTTAACAGTGGAAATCGATGGACAAGTGGAGTCCATCATGCAACGAACAGCCCTTGTAGCTAACACATCCAACATGCCAGTAGCAGCTAGAGAAGCTTCCATCTATACTGGTGAGACTGTCACATTTCTTGTACACTTGGAAAACTTGGAAAATTTGAAATTGTTAATTTTAAACAGAGACATATAGCTATTAATAAAGAAAATTCCTCAACCTAGTTATGATTTTTGACTTACTGTTTTGCACATGACTGGCTTTCAACTTGATTTTGATTTTAAACCAAAGTTTAAGTCCTTCCAAACCCACTTGATTATAGTAACTTAGGACTTTCTTACTTAAAAGGTAGGAATTTTGGCAAGTTATGTGTATAATTTAGTATTTGATAAGAAGACTGGTTAGAAGATATTCTCAGTTTTTATTTATTTTAATGTAAAAGAAAACTTGACTTGTACGAGACGCATATCTTAACTGACAACAGTATCAGGATAAAAACTATTACAGTGTTGTCTTCTTGTATCACACTAGACATCATCTGTTTCATTTGAAGACATTTGGATTGTCAAATATTTATTTGTGCTAATTCGATGCCTTATAGTTACTAAGAAATAATTTTTTCTTTAGGCATTACTCTTTCTGAATATTTCCGTGACATGGGTTATAATGTTTCCATGATGGCGGATTCTACCTCAAGATGGGCTGAAGCCTTGAGAGAAATCTCGGGTCGACTTGCAGAAATGCCTGCAGGTATGAAGTTTCATACAATATTTATATGGCACATATAAAAAAACCCAAAAATAAGTAGGTCTGTAATTGTAAATTGAAAATTATGCAGGCCTTTGAATTTTAATTTAATTAAATTATTAAAATAAATGATACAGATTTATCATGCCTTTTTCATCACATAATAAGATAAAGGGTTATAGCTGCTGAAGCTTTTGGGTTTTGAGCATGAGGTTTAAAATCACAGTTTTTAAACATTTGAAAGTAAATGAATGGATTTTCTTGCTGTTATTAAGATTAATTCTCCCAGTTGCATATACAAAGCCATAAAGAATAGAGAAGTTGTACATCTTCCCCTTCTTAAGTATATCAAGAAGTAGTAAAAACAATGTAGTGTGATTTGGTTAAAAGAACAGTAAAGGAGTAAAAAGGACAGTCACAATCAGATAATGTGGTTCAGTTGCTTCTGTTTGTAGTCTTTCAAGTATAATAATGATGATTAAAAAGCAGTAGGAATGTAACTTAACAAAAAAAAACTCTCCATAAAACATACACAGCAGCCTTTTTCTTTTACAACAGTTAAACAAGAAGAGAGTAGCAGAGTTTTCATCATATTCCACAGTAGGGGGGGCAATAAAATTGGTGGGAGACACATTTCCCTGTAGTATTTTAAAAATCAAGTCATTCAGAAACACCATTTTTTTCGTCTCTCTCTCTTTTTAAATGAGGTAATAAATGTGTAAATTTACATTAACTTTCTCCACATGGGCTCAGTCAAATTGACTGACCTCGTAACCGCTTTGTACTTGTTATAGTTTCCATACAATAACGTTTAACCCTCTCCAGATGGGTCACTGATCAAAAACCATGTCATCGTGTTTGCTGACTCATATTTTATTGATCTGCTATTTCATGAATTTATGTCAATAAGTTTAGTATCAAACTGTAGATTATAATTCAAATTTTAATATTATACATTATTTAATTTCTTAAGTTAAAAGTATATATATTAAAAAAACAGTTAAACAGATTGTTGTGTGTCATGTGATATGTTGAATGCAGCACTGATTCAGATTAGATGTTTGTGATGTCAACATACTAAGTCTAGTTTTGTACGAATGAAGAACTCAAATTATCGATATTGACAAGCTAGAATATAAAATAAGAACCTCATATCTTTTATATTTGCTTATATATCACTCATGTAATGAATCAAACACAGTGTCCTGCTCACCTCTTTTCATTTTCGGAAACAGTTTCTTATATAAACTTACTTCAATATATGACATGTGAATAAGCATTCAAAAGCTCAGAATGTCTCCTTAGTGGTTTTCTCAGCCATTTTCATGTGTTGGGACACCATCTCTTTCTTTCCAACTAAGATTTCAAGGAGGTAAGTTGTGTTTTTAGTCTGCTCAAAATTTCATATTTTTTTAGACTGAAATACAGCTTAGATAC